CCCTCTCTCCCCCTCAGCCACGGGTCCCTCTCTCTCCTCTCTCCCTCCGCCACTGGTGTGTCTCTCTCTCTCCTCTCCCCCCCTCTCTCTCAGCCATTGATCTCTCTCTCTCTCTCTCTCTCTCCCTCACTCCCTAGTTTCCCGGACTGGCACTGTGTTTGCGCCCGCCACTTACCGTCACTGTGCTCGCTGTCATTTTATTACGCTCCTCCTTAGTCGATATTTCAACAGTGTCTACGTCAGGTAGAAACCTGGCAATCACACAGGTCCAGTACTTATTTACTAACCAGACTCACTTACAGTTTCTCACTGAGATAAATGAGGAAAGTCCACACATTTGTTTTGGTGCCCTAAATACCCCAGTTTTTAATGTTCAACAGTGTGTCCTTATAAAATTGTTACTGTGCACAAAAGTCGCTCAGATATTCTATGCTGTTCCAAAAGTGTGTGATGAATTAAAAATTACTGTATGATAGTAACATAATCCCAGACTTTGTTTATAGTGTTCCCCACAGGCCAAGAGATGGCAAAGTGCTCTGAAGATGGGCTTATACGATCCTGACGTTTGGTGCAGGGTCTCAGATTTTATACAGGCTTCAATTTGTCATAATGTTGAACATTTTTGTTTTGTTTTTTACAAATTATCCAAATTTAATATATTAGCCCCAAAACTTTTAGTCTAAAAATATTTTTAGCTTTCCAAACCCTCTACAAATTTGGTTTTTGGCTCAACTGATCCAACTGATCGCTATAATCCCAGATTTTCCAGTGTTCCCCAGCTGCCAACCAATAGTACTCCAAAAACGTGCCGGTATAATCCCAAAATTTGTTACAGTGCCTTAAAATACCTCAGGTGTAATAGAGTCACTACAATTTGTTACAACTCCTCCAAAATATTAAATTATAATGTCAAAATGAGGTGAAGACAAAGTTCTAAAATGTGCTGATATAATCCTAAAACTTGTTAGCGTCTCCAAATCTCCCATATTTAGTGTTCAAAAGTTAAATGTTGCAATCCTAAAAAATGTGGTTTAGTATCCCCCAAACATTATTTGATATAAACTCATAACTTTATATAGTCACTCTAAAATATCATTATTAAACTCTGGTCACTTCAGGAGTCCAAGAGCCTGCTCGTGCCAGGAAGTCGTGTAGTGAAAACATTTATTGGTCTAAAACAAACTGTGATCAATAATTCAGTTAATGACTGTGTGTTACATCATTTCAAATATTGCTACTCCAGATGCACGATTACACTTCCGCTCAGACAACCATCTCTCCTCCCACCTCATCCAATACAACGCTCAGATGGCAGTAATGGTACTACTGATGAAACGGCAGCATGAAAGTCACTTTCACAGCTTATCTAAAGGGATGCTGATTCACTGGCAACTGGGGAAACTCAGCAGTGTATACACTGAGTTTCAGTGAGGGTAACATCAATAATTTTCTGGTCATTGTCTAAATAGCGAATGTCAGAAATTGTACACCATAAACATCCCTCTGTGTCAAAGTCTGTATCACAGCCACAGAAGCCCAGCGTCCATTAAACAGGGGAGGGGTTTGAGCACGGGGATCTTTTCCCGTCAGCTGATCTTGGCTGAGTCTTTATTGGATATGTCTTTATTGAGGATGACATCTTTTTTTTTTTTTAATATGATGAATTGTCTCAAACAAACATCAGCTGCGGAAAAGCGCAGCGAGATTTTCTAGGATGGACTAAATTCATTTGGGAAACTCAGAACGGGTGCTCTGAGACGAATATCGTCAGACGTATGATGGAGCTGCCTCTGAAGTTGATGACATGGTTGACTGTGACCATCTCCAAATCCAGCACCACCTCCCTTGGCCCCTTGATTGGTCGTGCCAAGACGAGGGTGGCGCTCACGTTACTGGTTTGCTGTGGGATGCAGAACATAGATGCAGAAGAGGGATGTGAGGAACGAAGAACGGGAAATAGTGAAATCTGTCAGCTGCACACTATGAAATGAAGCCATGGCTCAGGGCCTTGTCTTTCCCAACTAGTAAACACAAGCACAAAGTCAAGGAAAGTTAATGAGTTTTCCATTGTGGATGTTTGAACAAGGATAGTAAAGGGCAACTATAAATAATTGCTAAAATCTCATGTTTTCATTTGATCACACAACAAACCGCTTCATGCTTTATACTTCCCACAGAACAGACATTTCTCTGTATTTAACAAACTTGAGTCACAAAAATCTACCTCCCACATACATGACACACACGTATTGCTCCATCTAGTGGCTGCACACTGCACTGAAAGCTCAGGTGTTGCATGTTTTCAATTGGGACACCCGATAGATACGTGCACTTATCAAGATGTGAAAGCAAAAAATTTATACTTATCACTAAGTGAGGTCATTATTGTACAAACTGAAAACAAAAAGCTATTTAAAACTTTACCTTGGTTCTTTTTTGTGATAGCATAACTTTTGTGGTGATCAAATATGTGACTTTAAATTCATCCTCCACTTGGTATATGAAATATAGAGCTATGTCTCCGGCCTCCGGTATGAGTAACTGGCCAGACACCTTATCACATGTCTCCAAGAGCTGAAAGAAAACTAATCTACTCTTGTTGCATTTAATAGTAAACAGGTTCCAAAATGCTCCGGATGCAGTGCTCACTGAACAGCTTGCGTTGATACAGTTCAGTCACATTTGTGTTGTGGTATAACTTGCTTGCTCACTATGAAGTTAAAATAAAATAAGAACCAGGATTATATACATCCAATCCAAGAGTTTTTTAAAAATGATTTTGACAACATCTTCACCAGCTGTGGCGTTTCTGCACTGTGCCCTCTGTTGCAGTAACTGCTTCATACAACATCTGCAGTTTTATTGTGTTTTGAGCTGATACTTTCTGTAGGTGTCACTGTTTTGTTAATCTATGGTAGCTCATGCTTGCTGCAAAGTTGTTGCTCTCTTTTTAAAAATAAACTGCAGCTGCTTACTACTGTCGGAAACATAAAACCCATTGAACATATTTTCCATAATTGAAAATAAAAAATTAAAATCTCATTTTATTCCTTTAAGGTGTCAGTGTGACATTTCAGCATATATGCTCCTTTGCTAATCATGTCTACAGGTGAAGTACTCACCCTCATGTAAAACTCTCGTCCTTCGTTGCCCGACTTTATCTGGAAGATGTAAAAGGCGCCAGGGTAGCGTGTGGTGGCCTGCATCTGGAAGATGTCTACAGGCACACTGCGCCCCGACGACAAGTCCATGTGTCGGTACAAAATGGTGAAGGGCCTGTCCCTACAGGCAGGGACCTCAGCTGAACACATACACTGACTGCGGAGGAGGACACAGTGGTAGCTTAGGTTTTTGGAAACTAAAACAGATAATGATTAACATTAAATGCAGCTTTATGTACAGGAGTGTGATAGCGAACATAAATGTAAGGGAAGACGCGTTCACGAGATGGAGAGCAGGCGTTGAAATGGAACAACTCACTTGTCACTGACTTCAATGTAAGGAGGGTGACACTGTAAAGGATTCAGGCATGTATAGCCTCCCTGGAAATTGAAACACACTTGTGCTGTTGTACAGGTGTTGTTACCAGTGTCACATTCATTGATATCTTCAAAATCAAACACACAATAATCAAAGTCAGTTAAATCAGCATCATCAGAAAAACAACATTTAGAAAACAGTATGGTTAGTGAGAATGACTGTGTCAGGAAAAGGTACAAAAAAAAAAGAGAAAGCAGATAACATTAAATGAGGCAACACTTGTGGTAAAAAACAAAAAAACATGTAATACATAAGTGGAACTAGTCTCAATCATCAACATTTTCTGCACTGCAGGTGCAGATGTGTCATTTTTTACCAAATAAAAACCTCAAATAAGACACACTTTAGGTGGCAGATGAAAAATACTTGAAATAAAACAGGATTAAATTGTATTCAAAACATTCCTGATAAAAAAAAGAAAGGTTACTATATGCAGCAAGGCAATTCATAGCAGCTTTAGGAGTACGTTCACATTCTTGTCAGGTGTGATAATGCATCTAAACTGCAGCCAAACTGACACTGAAATGAACATTTATTCAGTCGAGCCCTTGTAAAGTAGTGACTGTGATGGTGTCTTCCGTCTTGAACTTTACCTTCACAGCTCCTGCCGTCCTCATAAACATAATATCCAGGCGGACAGATGCAGGTGAAAGAGCCCGGTGCATTCACACATCTGTGCTGACACAGAAAATCTGAGAAGCTGCACTCATCCAGGTCTACAGAGGAAAAACAGCAGGATCAGTACTCATCATATAAAGAATGTGAGGGTGGCCCAGTGGGTATGTGTGTGTTTTTCTGTGTGGTCACTGGTGGACCCAGTCTGAAACGGTGGTTGACTCCATCTCCTTGTGATGTTGCACAGGATAAACAGACAGTGTTAATGCAATAACATTATCAAAGAATAATTATATATACGGTAACTACATCTAAAAATGTATGCAGGTGTCAAATGTACATTATTGTACACTTTGACAGGTTATTACAGTCTCGGCTGCTACAGGTCTAAGTGGTAATAGTAATAGTTATAAATGCTGTAAAATGTAGCCATTAGGCCACAGACACATTTAATGTAGAGAGGCGTCTCCTTTTGTAAATGCTAAGATCACTGTTTAGACCCCACTAAAACACAAAAACCCCACAAAGTTAGCGCCACTCACCAATGCAGGAGGTACCGTCAGCCGCCAGCTCGAACCCCTCGTCGCAGTTGCACATGAAGGATCCATAAGTGTTGAAGCACCGGTGACTGCATGGTTCCTCTTCACACTCATTCACATCTGGAGGAGAAGTAGTGGAAGGTAGCTAAACACCACTGGAACAGCCTGTGTGTGTGAGTGTGAGTGTGTGTGTGTGTGTGTGTGTGTGTGTACCTTGACAGGTCCTGGCGTCAGGGTTGAGGATGAAGCCGGGGCTACAGGAACACGAGTAAGAACCGGGGACGTTGGCACACAGCTGTTGGCAGTAACCATAGCGACATTCATCAATGTCTGGTCAAAAGAAAAAAAGACAAAACTGTTATAAACCATAATTTATATAAACTACAAGTCTGTGAAACGCAAAATACATAAAAACCCAGACTGCGATGTGAAGCTTACTAAACATCATCATCATCATCACTATATTGACAATTTATAGGTTTGATTTGACAAAAACTCTGATCAGGTGCTTTACTCTGTTGGACCAGAAGAGGGCGCTGTTCTTCAAGAGGCAAGCTAAAAAAAATCGACTCAAACTTGAAACATGGTAGAAAAAGATAAACCATCTCAATGTATGATTTCTTTTTGGTGATTTTAAGGAAAACTTCACATAATGTTTGATCACTGTTTGCCTTCCAACAAATGGCAGAGCTTCCTTAAATGCACCACAATTTAAGAGTTTTTTTTTTTTTTTTTTAACAGTTTCTGTAATAACTGCATTTGTACACAACAACAATGTTCACCATGATGGATTAATGTTCTCAAGAGAGGGTTAAGTCTTTCAATAAACAGACTGGCATGCTATGGAAAAGGACTGCTCTCTCCTCCACAGTTAATTTAACAAAGGTTTGCTGATGTTTAAAATGCAATATTTCACTCACCGTGGCACTGTGCACCAATGAGCCAGTATCCCTCAGTGCAGGAACAGGTGTAGCCACCTAACGTATTGATGCAGACCTGGGTGGGGTTACAGTGATGAGAGTTTGTCTCACATTCGTCAATGTCTGCAACAAAGAGGAGATGTTACTGGTAATGATTTCTTTCAGACTGCACATACAGTTTCCTGTTTAAATTTTACACTTCGTCCTTAAAAGCAACACCTGGAGAGATGTCTTCAAAAGACTGGCTGACAGTTAGGAACAAGACAAACAAAACATTTCCTCATGTGGGTCATGTATATTTCTTCTCTGACTCAAAGAATGAGGTGGAAGCACATGGATGACATTGATGCGTTTGTTTTTTTTTTTTTTTTGCTTTCATTTTAAACCAATAAAAAGGCAAACGAATCTACACATCACCATCTTGTTCTTAGTTCAGTAATTCTGCACAAACATGACAACATGTTGGCCACAAATGGTCTTTTTCAAGACGATCTTTATTTTCTTTGTGGAGCTTATTGTCACCCAGCACCTGCAAAAATGCAAGGATGTGCCTCCTGATGATTGCATTGTTGTAAATGAGCCACTGTGTGTTTTGGCTGACCCTTCTACTACTAGTCAGATGATGGTAACCTCGGTCCAGCGGTTGGGCGTTAGGTGCATGTCTACTTCTGTGAAGGCGAGGTGCTGCTCCGACAAACATCGAGTCAAAAGTATGTTTTTCCGGCGCGCTGGTTTTCAATGCTCTGTGTGTGAAAAACTCTTAGTACAAGTTACCATTTCGATACATGATTGACTTGCAATTGTTTCTGCACCAGATTAACAGTTTCTAAGATTACAATCTAAATTCTTTTGACGCCCCTGGAGCAGCTCACGCCAACATAATAATAGCCACATTTCCTTATGAGGATATGACAAATCAGAAATTCCAGCCTCTGTTTATGGTTCTCAGACCATGAAGTCACAAATCTCTAGAAAACTGGTGGGGGAAGTGGGTGGGAGCCTGGTTTTTGTTTGGACAGGCAGCTATGATAAGCGATAATGGCTGTCGGTGGGACCGCTGCCCTCTGTGCCAACTTGAACCGCTGGTCCTTCGCAGGGTGAGCGGACGGGGGGCGTGCTGAGCACTGGGCCTCCGGCCAACAGCTACATGGCCCCGGCACTTGCTTGCAGTTACAAGTCAAAACCTCTCTGAATGGCCCTCATCTGCACCCCATGTGTAGCCCTGCTGGCCCTGCAGCAGATCTTCAATGTGTACACATGAGCTGCAGGAGTGTTTCAGTTCAGCTCCTTATATAGACTGTTTCAAGAGCTGCCCACACGCTTTAGGTTGCCGCTGACAGATCAGCTTCAGCACAGGCACGACAGATGGGATTTATTTGAAATGCCTGAATGTCGGGCACCAAGTACGAAAATGAAAAAACCTTTAACAGTTGCAACATTTTAACATCAACATGCACACAGGCTTCAAGCTACTCTCCAGTGGCTTTAAATCAGACAAGGCCAGCTCCCCATGGTTAGATTAATGTCACCTGTCTTCATTTCTCAAACTAAACTGAGGTACATTAAATGAGATCATAAGTTTCTTATAACCGCAGAATGCAAAGTTTGTCAAAAACAGCCTTTCAATGAAGGTACATTTTGATCGAAGGGGTTTTCTTAAGCCCACAAGGATGGAAATTTTTCTCAAGTCACAAAGGAGCATGGTTTTCAAGTAAAAACATGACAAATCCACAAAACTGCAGTTATGGGTGGAAATAAGCATTACACGCCCATGCAAAATGAAAAAGCACAATACGAGGCAGCATCTAAACTCTAGAGGCAACATTTTGTTTCTCTGATTTAAGAGACTCCGGGCTGCCGTAAAACCGTGTTGAGCAATCTCTCTCCTGATTCAGGGGTCAGTTTAACACACTCTCACCAGCTGCTACTGCTGTCTGGTCATACAGGCAGTTTCAGTTTTGACATATCTGTCTCAACCCAGTTATGGAGGGGAATGAAATTTTGTTTATGCACCACACATGATTAAAAACATTACATCTGAACAAACACAACCGTGCTAGTGCTGGTGGTTTGGTCAGGCGGTACCTAGGCATAGCAAAGGTTTGAACTAAATGCTAACATCAGCATGCTAACATGCTACTGTAGCTGAGGCTGATGGGAATTGGTCATTTCAAAAAAAATATTAAAAGAGCCCATGGCATGCTTTTCTGTGTTTTCTGACTTATTGACAATGCTACAACAATGAATTATCATCTTAAACATGAGTGAAAGCTCAGAAAATGAGGTGTACCTATTTACTTCTATTAAAAGGCAACTTGGTTTATACAAGTTCTCACGAACTCTCATTGGCAACACTTTTTTCCCCCCCAACTATGCAAAGTCTTAAGCAATAGTTGATGGATTTCCTTGAATGGGCATAAACTCCGGGCAGTGCACGTTCATGTGAGCTTGCCAAACATGGCATGAAAGGAGCAGCCGGAAACCTACAAGCACTCGACCAGTGAAGCACTCTGGGGCAGTAAATGATCAGCTCATCAACGCTGGATTCCTCCAGAGCACAGTACTCGTTTGATTTGACAGCTCGAGGCCAGTGTGTCTGCTGCATGTGATGTGTTGAGGGTTGGTGAGAAAATCCAAATGATCCCTGACGTTAGTGTTGGTGCAACGGCACCTGTTAGCTTGTAAAGCGAGGGATTTGTGAGGGGAAGACGCAGTGACCACCGGTTGTTTCACCGACCTTGAAGCTACTTGAAAAGGAGCGATGCTTCCACTACCATCGTGCTGTCCACTTTCATATTCTGGCTTGAACATGTCAGGTAGGATTTAAGGTATTGTCATTGTCAAAAATGTAGCTCATTTGTCAAAGTTTTTTTGTTTTTGTGCTGTTATCACTTCCTGACCGGCAACACGAGTTGTGCACATTCACAAACTATCCCTTCGTTTTCAGGAAGAGGCTCTCCTTGTGCTATCGGTTTATTTTGTGAAATAATTAGACATTGCCTCAGAGCCACAGTGCATGTGCACAGCCACTACAGACTCAAAAAGCAACATATTGTTCCAGAAACAATTTCATTTTTATTCTAAATAATATAGAGACTTGATTGTGAACAGTTGCACAGGGACTATCACACTATTTCCTGGCTTTCTACACTTTAATTTTGTCTCATTGTTAAAATGAGGTATAATGCGCTTTAAACTGAGCCAGACTGTTTCTCTAACTTAGTCTTTATGCTAAGCTAAACTAATGGTCTTGTGGCGCCAGTTTTATTGATCTTCTCAATTATTTCCAGCAAGAAAATAAGTATGTGCATTGTCCAAAATATCATCATTCCTTTAAGATATCAGTGCTACAATGACTCTGCAGACTATCACTCTGATTTCTAATTTTGAGTCAGCATTTTGGGGAAGGCCCATTCCCACATCAACATGATAGTGCCCCAGGTACATAAAGAAATTATCTTCCCAGCGTGTTGGTGCCTTGCACAGGGCCCTGGCTTCAGTCCTTATCCTACACCTTAGGGATGAACTCCAATGCTGAACACAAGCCAACATTTAATTGCTCAGCATCTGTGGCCAACTTCTCTAACACTGTTGCGGCTGAAGGCAGCCAGAAGGAACCAGAAGAATGGAGCCTTATATAATAAAAGTCATGATTTTGGATTGGGATATTAAGCATCAAATGGGTGTCTACATACTTTTGGCCACAACATGTTTCTGTGCGGTTAGAAACCATCCATGCATTATATACATGTCTTATCCTGTCGAGGATCATGAGGTGGGGGATCCCCGCTGACACTGGCCGAGAGGCTGGGTACAGCCTGCAAAGGTCACCAGTCTGTCACAAGACTGACACACCTACAGGCAGCTTAGAGTCCAGTTAGCCTAACCTGCATGTCCCTGGAAGATGGAATACAGAGAGAAAACCCACGCAGGTACAAGGTGAACCTGCAAACTCCACACAGAAGCGCCCCAGTTGGCCGTGAGGTTCAAACCCAGAACATTCTTACTTTGGTGTGACAGTGCTAATCACTGTGCAACTATGCCCTGATTAGAAGCCACTAAAGGAAAATAAAACCCTTTACAATATGAATGAAGTGAGCTGCAAAGCTGGATTTCAGAAATCAGCTGAGAGTGAAAACACTACAGCCTGCCATAAAACTGATTATGCCACTGTAGTACAGTCTGAGCTGTAAAAAACAAAAACAACAAGAAACCCCCCACACACACCACATATGCAAAAAAGTCATATCCAAGGGCTAATTTCTTCTATTGTTCTCACAGACTGGTGCCATTAGTGGCACTGATGGAGTGTAGTGCACTTAGCTCCAAGACAAAGCCATGTTTGTTAAGGCTCAGACAGGATGTCACAGTCTGTGTTGTTTCTGCCCATAGCAGCATCACTCCACAACCCATTACATCACCACGTGCACACTACTGGAACACACAGCAGACTTTGGGGGTCGTTACGATTAACTCCCACAGAGGCATGCCTGTTCCCCAGCCGAGACGCGGGTACAGATTTGGCAGCGAATGACTTCATCTTTGGCACTGATAGTGTAAAAGTTTGTGAGCCGATTCCCTGACAGGCCTTCTCCCCTACATAGTAAAAAGAGTCCGTACTTGTGCATGAGCTAAACTCTAAAGCTCTTTTTGAAGGGCGAAAACTGAACAGCATGTCTGTATTTTCCATTCATTACAAGGCCACGGCTGATTTATCCAAAATGACAGAAAAACACCACAAATGGACTTTAACAAGGCTGGTTTGTCACTGCCGGACTCACTTGGCTAATTACGGTCAGATGGATTTAAAACAGCTGGGAGGTCAGATATCAGATATTTAGTGTTTATCTGACAGCTGGGATCTCTTGCTGTTGTGAAATTCAACAGAATCAGTCACAAAGAAGAAATGTCCTCACTGTTGAAAGTGCTTTCACCAGGCAATGGAAAACATCTGTCCCTGTGATCTGATGGATTCATGCATTCTCCTGGAGTTCAGCCACAATCTTTGATGAGTTCCAATGAGTTTCTGGAGTTTCTATCACCTGTGCCTCATCATGTCACCTCATCCATCTAGTTTCACAGTCACATCTGATAAACAGCAGGAGGTGGTAGATGGCACGCACAACGTTTTCCCCCCTCAGAGCATTGTCATCTTGCAACTAGAATCACTAAAAAGATTCAGCAAAGGAGCCAGAAAGTTCAAACAGCTGCAGCAGAAGACAAACAACTCGCCGTTACAAGCTATTAGTAAGTAATAGGTTCTTAGGAGATGAGAAGACAACACTCTTTTTGCAGCCAAGCAAGCCACTAAACATGAAGACGGCATGAAACTAGTGTTGGGAAAGTCGTTCCAGAAGAGTAAATATGACCATCAGATTAAAGTGGCTCACTGCTAAAGATAAATCTGTTGAGTTACATGATGATAAACACGTTGGGAAAGCCGAATGTATATTTCTGCTACATAAAACCTTTTTCCTGTAAATTTTGCACAGAAAAAAATATTTTATTGATAATATAAAGGCTTATGGTTATTAAGAAATTAAAACTAATTGAGGAGAAAGAAAATCACTCTTTGTTCAAACTAGTCACCAACTGGTGACATGAACCTTCGTCACCTATGAAGAAAGGACTGTAAGACGACAGGGGTCACATTCCCACTGTTCGGACATGAAACTGACTTAGGACTGGGTTATGCTTAAAGAATCTGGGTTCGTCCTTCGTCACTGAAATCATGCAGACCCTGACTCACCATTACAACTGCCATCGTCCGCAAGAGCGTAGCCTAAGATGCAATGCGCAGTGCCCCTAACTCGCGGGTAGCTGGGCTCTACGGATCTGGGAGGAGCTGCGGGGAAAGTGTCTGAATATCCACCCGGTGACTCCGGGTAAAATGGCTCAGGCAGGCTCGGGGTCTCCAGTCTGTACTGCTGGTCGTACATGCTCCTCGGCATGCACAGGTAGCCTCCGTTCTGGTTCACACAGTGCATGTCTCCTCGACAAACACCTGGCAGGGCACGGCACTCATCCACATCTGGAACACAGCGGCGCACTAATCAGAACCCCCTGTACGCAGAACATCTACGGGCTTGTGAGTCATTTACTTCTCAGTGTTTGTTTGGGAACAAGCTCTTCACAAGATCAGTTCATACGGAAAACTCTACTTTTCAGTAACAGAAGTCACACCACTTACCTATGCACTGCCTTGCCCTGCGGTCATATGCAAAGCCCTCTGTGCAGGTCTGTAGAGAGATGACCAGTTGAGATTTCTAACAAACTTCTACTAAACAATTCAATTAATAAGATTACATTTAATACGTTTTATCAGTTATATTCTACCAACTTTGTTTAATCACAGTGTGTGTGTGTTGTTAATTAGCTACATCAAAATCAAATGGCACATTTTCAGAACTCGGCCATGACCTTGATCTGAATGAAACCCCCCTAGTTAACCTGACTTAATTGAAGGGAGGCGTTGTGTTACCTGTCCGTGTCCCGACTGGACACAAAGCACAATAAAAACCAGAGCTGCCAACATCCTGCAAAGAGGGAATTTCAAGTTTTCAAACTCTTGTCAGATACAGCGTAGCATCCCGTTACATAGCCTCTTCATTCAAACACACAATTGAGGCTTCAGTTCGCTATGCAAAGATAAAGCCACGATTGGAAAAAAAAAGTTTACTGACCTTGCAGATGTGCAAAACCTGCAGCCACGCATTTCAAAAAGCATGGTTTATGGTTCCTATTGAGCTCTCTCACAGGAGAGATTTAGGCCCGTAAATTCTCCCCAGATCCCCTCGCCACTAGCCAGCAGGGCTCTCACCGCCCTCGGACTATGCGCCTTTACGCGAAAGCCGACACCAGGTTTTCATTAACCGCTGTCTATTCGAACTGAAGCTTCGGTACATTTACCAAGTGTTGCAGGAAGGGCCACTCTGCTTCCGTCCTTTTCTGCCCGATCTACAGATTATTTAGGAAGGCACGTTCACGTCTTCCGTCTTTCACCACAGCTGGATTCAATCTGAGAAAGCCAGCCCCCTCCGTCAGAGCGCAAAGAGACAGCGTCTGCTCGCTCCAACCAGCGGCTTCTGGGGGGCACAGAGAGCACAGTCAGTGTCTCATTTACTTAGCTGTGAACAGCCCCCCCCAACTCACACAGCTGATTGACACTGCACATCTGGCGCGGGAAAACAAAAGCTATGCAAGCGATCACACGAATGCGGGCTGGAGAAAAACTAGGACAATGAACAACAATAAGGATCAGCAGTACTTTTATTTGATATGAAATCCCAATTAGGTCAGGGCTACTAACCTCGACTGAAGATCATCCAGGTTCAAGGTAATCCAACACCCGTTTGACACCTCTGAGTTTCAGACTTGATATCTAAATAAATTCCACTACATTTCACCCATACACCTGGGGAAACACCGTAACAGTCCTTCTGCAGCAGCTGACTGATGGCTATACAAAAATGTAAAGCAGCTCCTGTTAATGCAAACCAGCTCTGAACACTACAAGTTCACTAGGTTAAGAATTTACACAGTGCAGGGTCAGTATTAGCACTGATGTAATCCCATGCAGTACCACTGAGTTCTTGTAACCCAGTGCTGGTGTTACATATTACTGCTGGGTCAGCGGATCGAAGCGACCCCACCCATCCTGGGTGATTTTCTACTTTTGTGCACTGAGTAAATTTAAAATGCGCTGGTGCTATACTGACTGGACACTGGGTAAATTTTATCCAGTGATTTTTTTTTTGTGTGGTCAGGGAAAACCTTTTAAATGTGCAGTTTTTACATTTTGTATATATTTATATATTTATATTAACCATTTACAATCATGATTATACAACTATCTAATTAGCAAAAAGTCAGGCACTTCTGGAATTTCCTTAGTGCCTTTACATAGGAAATCCCCACACATTTACACATATATAACTATATAATAGTATTGTACTTCAACATAAGAGCAGTCTCCAAACGCTGATCAACCACAGGCAGCAGTTACCGCCATTATAACGCTTGTGGACATCACAGTCTGGCTGAAAAATAAAACAAGATTTAGCAAAAATGTCTCTATGGTTTTAGCAGATGTATTGGATCACATAAATCTTGATGCAGCCTACTGCTACCGGAGAGTTTCTAGTCAAGTCCTAGATCCCAAACAGTTCACTGCTTTCCAAAGCTACAAAGAGAAGAAAATTAAAGTTGTTCAATGTCAAGTTAAAACTGGAGGATATGAGATGTTTTCACGTGCAAACAGAGGTGACGATTAGACTCAACCCACATGTATCGTCCTGCACACAGCGAGTTCACAAGGACACTTGTGTCCAGAACCGATGAAATGAATAAAAATCTAAATGTAAGAAGTAACTAAAAGGACAATGTGCTGTGTTGCTCTCACGCTTAATGACCCACAACTTGAAAGGGATTGAATCATGTGTCCCTTTCACACACACGTCTTATTTTATGGATCATTTCGACTCGTGGCTCAACATCTAACAATAATGTAGAGTAGGAAACACTTTTAATTGTCTCCAAATGGAGGCTCTGTTGCATAGAACAGTAACTGCAAGTACAACTAATTCCAAAAAGCAAACCCCAGGTTCAAACCCCTGTCAAAGAATTGAATATTAACTATTTATGAATTAGTGGATCATTTATTCTTGCAGGAAATAAAAAATAGCAGTGATAAGTAGAAGACCTCCTCAAATAACTCAGTCTGTGTAGTGTAAAACGCATGTTGGATGAATTAGGGCATCTGACTGATCACTGCTTTAACAAGCCTTTGAGCACGGCTCCGGCGCTGGCCTCTGCTGAGACCGGCACAGGTGTGAAGGTGGGCAGGGCGTCAGAGATGGGCTTCATCAGCAGGTGACCTCCTGAGCTGCCAGAGCCGGGGCCAGCCAGCAGTGGCACTGCTGCAGAGCGGGGGGCCAGGAAAGAACTGGCCTCGCTGACTCGTTTACTGGCTGCTGAAGCTCCTGTGAGGAGAAAGGCTTACATTTAAATTAGGTCTGATGTGTTCGGGGGTGTTAGAGAACGAGCAATGCCTCCTGTCTGAAATGACTGATTAACTACACAAGAGAAAAAAATGTATTGGCAGCAGCATTTTTTCCCCCCAGAGGGGTTGTTTACCTGTGGGGGTGTTGGAAGCAGCACTGCTGGTTCTTCTCTGAGGCGGGTCACCCAGAGGCTTAATGTCATGGAATGGAAGCTTTGGTGCAGGGAGTGAAGGGGTCGACTCCATCTCCAGAAACTTTACAAACATCTCTGAGAAGGACTGCACAAACAGAGAACATGGGAGTGAGATATTTTACTGACCAAAGCAGCGTAAATGTCCTTTCTGCCATAAACTGGGACTCCAGAGTGAAGAGGTAGCTTCAGCATGGCGGTGAGGGACTGATGTCTTGGGACACTTCAGCAGAGCAAACAGTTGATAAAGCAAGCGGTTGAACCAAAGTGATCCAGTTGAGTTAGTCTCTAACCAGGTGTTCTGTTGTCATAAATGTGTGTCCTGTCATCAGTGGTAGTACAGATGTTTTTTGTTTTTTTGAAGGGTACAAATAAATAGTGATATTCCTATTCTTCTTTTGCTTCATAAAGCAATGTTTTACAGTGACAGTGTACCACAGAAAGCCAAGATCTGCATGTAGAGATGATGATGATCACCTGAATGTGCAGCTCCATAGCGAGTTTCAGTTCACTGTTTATCTGTGCACTGTTTGGTGCACTCTCATCACTCACATAGCATTGTTTTTGGCTGCAGCAGGAACCTGATTTCAGAGGAAAGCCTCCAAAGCATTGTTTTCAATGCTATGAACCTGATTTCAGAGGAAAGCCTCCAAAAGCCTACTGTACACTATCTGCTCAGCACCAAACAGCAGACAGGCACAGTTAGTGGCTACCTGATGAGCACAGAGCCACATTTAGCAGCCCAAGAGATATTTCCCTCAGGAGCTGGTGGAGACCAAATACAGTGCTATAAGAGATAGTGAAGGTGGCCAGCAACAAATGACGGCTAATACAGAAGAGTTGCAACACTGATGGGTCACATGACCCATGTAGCTTCAAATAATTCCAAACAGTCGATCCAGATGAACCGTTTTCTGTAGGCAACTGTAGGATTTATCAGCAAATTACTGATTTTAATGACTTTAACAGCCTTGTAAACCAATTCTGTGATCTTTTGTTGTAGATAGCTCAGCTAATTTAGCTAGCTAGCTACGTACGTAATTTATTACAATGACAATATTTATTAGAGACAGTCAAAAGGTTAAAACATGTTTTGAGACATGCTGCTAGTTTAGAATGTCGCAAGTAAACCTAAAGTGTTGTTTCTTACTGAGTTGAGCCTTGAGCCGCTCTGTGGAGTGTTTGGGACACTCTGTGCTCCTCTGCCTCCCAGCCAGCTTGACACCCATCCTGTAACACCGTGCCGTCCGTCCTCTTCCAACATCTGCAGACAGGGGGGAAGGAAGTACAGACAAATATTATGGGATTTGAGAAAGAAGGAAGTCTCCAAATCACCACAGTCCTAGACTGTTCGCTCAGGCTCTTTCTGAAGAGAGGATTTTCTTCTGCTTTCACACAAGTGCTTACTTTATTTCAGTTTTATTTGTTCTTGTTGCCACCTCTTTCTGGAAACCTGTTTTGTGGACCACTCATGTACAGGCGCTCTGATTCTTTGCTGACAGCCAACACTCAGAGAAGAAACATGTGGCTTTATCATTTGCTGTCATTCAAACACTCTACAGCCTTATTCGCCTGGCAGGATCCAGCTGGGTGCATCCCATACTGTATATATGTGTAGGGATCACAGCTTTGGGATTAAAAAGCATGTTGTACCTGGTACTTTTTACCATACTGACTCTGAGAGACGAGGCAGTCCAAGTAACTACAAAACAGTGCTGATTTATTCCATGAACACAGGTAAAAATTAACATTACACGCTCGGGTATCTTGCACCTCCAAACTGGCAGATGTAAGATGAAAGACCCTGAACCCACCAGGCCTATACATTATATCCCCTCGGTTGGCCTAGCCCCATACTACACAGAAACGTCAACCGAGACGTCTCTGTTACCAGCTTTGCAGCTGGTCATAGCAGTAGTCAAAACATGAAGCAAATCAATGTGTGTGTGTCTGTTGATTAAGTGGTGTGTAACTAAAAACATTCTCACACGACCTCATGTGACATGTCGTGAGCTAAACATAAGAACATATTATGGCTAAGGCTACAGTTATACATGTCATAATAATAATATTAAACACCCTGTCTGCTGACAGTCATCAACTCTTCTCTCTAGTATCCTTGACCAGATGTACCCTGTAGAAACTCATAAGCATGACTAAGCATTTAACAGTCTAACTAGACATCCTATCTCCACTAAACATTTCTAATACATAAAGTACCTATCCAATTTCTATCCGACTAAAAATACCTAACAAGCACTAGAGGGGCAATACTAGCTGCTTCACTGAGGCCAATACTGAAAATGTGGTGAGTTTTATGGGACACTTGGCTGCTATAAAAACAAGTTGAGTTGAAGACTTAAGCAGTATTAACAGGAGAGACGAGGTGCTGATGAAAAAAAACAAAGCGTAATGACCAACAGAATAAAAATGGGTTTTCTGATGAGCCGTTATCGAATTTGCCCCTCGTCCTATATCTGTTTTCCTTTAAGACGGCTGGGTAAATGCTCTGGAATCGCTGGACGGAGTCCCACAAGGCTCCTGGCAGAAGATCTGCATAAGGAAATGCTTTCGTTTTCAGGGCTGGAGCTCTGAGGATTTTTAGTGGCTGCTGAAGTAACTGTGAGACAGTGGGTTTTGTAGTTGACTCTCGAGGACATGTTTAACTAATTAAACATTTCAAAAACTGAAAAGAGGCCTATTGTCTTATGGTCAAGGAATGTAAATGGTAGAATCAAATTTATATACTGAACAGAAATGGTCCTTACTCTACAGCAAGTACTTTTATTGGACACAAGAAACTGCCAATGGCACAGACATGAATTGCAGCTTTGTGAAGCCACACTTTTTGTTAAGACCATGGCATCAGTATTTATTCAACTCTACGGTATTTCTGTAAATCAGCTTATATGTTTTAGCAGCTGTGAACTTGAGACTAGGACTGAAGCCACACCACAAAAAGGACGTTTCCCCAGCATATAAAAAACCCAACTTGTCATGTTTATTCAGGATTTAACAAGCAAGACATAAAGTGTTAGTGAGCTTTTGAGACACCACTAAATGTTTCCCTCTGTCTTTATGCTAAGCTAAGCTAACAGTCACCTGGCTAAAGAACCCTATTTACCGGACAAACATGAGTGATATCTCCTAATTTTAGTCTCAACAACCATATTTCCTAAAAAACAATGTTCCAT